CCCCGATTTTCGCCGTTCCGACGCATCGCCGACGCATCATCGTCGATGCATCGGCGCTGAGGCGCGATCCTCCGACCCAATCTGCTCGGACCAAATTTGGGCGGCCTCTATTTGTCGGGAGCGTCCAAGAAGGGGGGTGATCGGACGGGTCTAGGACGAGGATATCCAGAGTGTTCTGGAACGCTTTCAGAGCGTTCCGCAACGCTCTGAGAAGGCCGCGGCGTCCGACACATCAATTAGAGCCGCAGGATCTCAGAGATCCTCGATTTCTCCTCACCCGAGTTTATTTACGTCCTGGCCCCATCTTCGGTGAGGACCAGGGGTGAGTGGATACAGTGGCGACGCGCGTTAAGAAACCGACTGCTTTCGTCAGTGTACCCTTGGTTTCTTCGCTCCGCGCGCCGCGCGGTGGCTTCCCGTGGTCGCTGGAAGGGGCTGCTGCGTGCAAGGGTGCTCTAAATCTAAACCTCCCCCTTCTTGCACCTCGCGCCTGCGGGTCTCAGGGCTGGGTCTCTTGCGGCCGCTCCAGCACCGTGTCATGGCCGGGGCCATGAGCTCTCCCAGATTTCATGGCCCCCAGGGCGAGGGGCTTGGTCCTGTTGCGTCCCGGGGGCGAGGGGTCGCCATCGTCGTTCTCGTCTTCGTCGTCGTCGTCGTCGTCGTCGTCGTCGCCCTTTCAAGACGTTCCGCCCCCGTCCGCGCGCACGCCCTCTTCGGGCCACGGCGCATTGGGCCCCCTCCCCTTTTTCCTTGGCCCCCCCCCCTCTCTGGCGCACCCGAGGGCTTTCGGCAGGACTCTTCTCGGCCACGCGCAGAGGGGGGAAGGAGGGAGGGGGGAAGGCTTCTTCGGGCGGGGCTAGGGTGAAGACGAATCCGTTCCAGTGTGTTCTGGAATGCTCTGAGAGCAACGCTCTCAGAGCGTGCCGGAACGCTCTGGGAAGGCCGCGTCGCCTGGTACATCTTCCAGATCCGCCAGATCCCAGATATTCTCGATTTATCCTCACCCGATCCTCGTCCAGGCTTCGTCTTCTTGGAAGCACCGCTGCTTCTTAGAAGGCGCGGGCCTTTTCTGTAGATGTAGGGCCAGCGCCTTCTAAGTAGCAGCCTCCCTCTGGGAAGCCTTCCCCAATGCCCCTACCCACTTGTGCGCGCCGCCAAGCTTTGCTTTAGAATTTCGGCCCCCAGGGCCATCAGACCCGATGGATCGCCGCGTGTCGTTTTGGGAGCCCATTGCGCCAGAGCTAGGCCAGGGTGGCCCTCTCTGGCAGCCATCGTGCCGACAAGCAGGGGAGTCCTCTTGGTTTTGGTGGGGCTTGTTTACAGTGGAAACGCATGCCAAGAAACACCCTGCTTGCCTCCAGGGTGTCCTGGACTTCCTGAGTTTCGATGGTGCTGTTGTAAAAAGCGTGACGTTCTCACACCAGAAATCAAGGGACGCCCTGGGGTCTCAGGGTTGGTTTCTTGTGGAAGGTTTCTTGTGGTCGAGCTCCTACTGTATTCTGGCCTTCGGGTGGGTCTCCTCCAGGCCAGACGGTCGAGAAGCCGGCCAGGACGGCGCTTCGGAGGCCATGAGTTGCTCACGAGCGAACGCTGGCCAAGAGGGAGAGCAAGTTCTCCTTCTCCGTTTCCCGTCCTCTCTTTGACGCTGCATCGGGCCTGATTCGCGCAATTCGTGCAGCGAGGAGTACTGGGAGCGTTTTACCCTCGCGATTGCCTCACATCGCGCTGCTCAATTGGACAAGTGGACCTTCCAGTCCGGAGAAGGCACCGAAGGGATCCCCGTAGGGACGGAGAAAACGGCATAGATCCGGTGAAGACACCGCAGAAGGTGGACGTTTTGAAGGACCAACAATGCGAATTTGTGGCCACACCGCTCGCAGGGTCGCAAAGATCGGGCCAGGGCCTGTCGGACATTCTCATGCCCTGCGGCTTTGGGGGCCTCAACGGCCTTCTGTCGTAACACCGGCCAAGCACCCCCCACTGCAAATCCTCTTCTTTGAGCATGGGTGTGCTGTCGTAGCCAGTAGCTCGCGGGAGCCCGGCAGCGATCTCGCTCGGTCGTCCTGCGGGGGCCCTTGATCTTGCCTTCGACTGTGGAGCAGGCGCCTGGAAGACCATCGTTCTGCGATGCCAGGGCTCGACGCCCAGTCACGCATTTTGTCTTCGGCTTTCGCTTAGGTCTTGCACCTTCGTTCAGTAGCTGTTACCAGGATCCCAGCGTGGGCTTGGTTGTGAGCACAGCTTGAGGTCTCATTTGTTAAGCTTTGGCTCGTACCTGGCCCGGCTGCTGGCTCATCGATTGCCATGGCTGCTGGTTCAGCCGCTTGCGCAGCTGTCAGGTACTAGTTTGTGCGGCTTTCCTTGAAGTTGCAGTTGATTCACCTGTGTGTTTTGATACTCACTTGGTTTTGCTGCATGTGTAACCGCTAGTTGAGCTGACAGCCTCATTACTTATCAGACTAGCTCTTTATTACCTGATGTATCAGGTCGAGCTTCAGTTTAGCAGATCTTTCAGGATACCCGGTACTAGTATTGTAGCTCGCTGCCAGCCTGGGTCTCAGCTTAGCTTCAGCTCAGCTTTGGCGCTGCTAGCCCCGAGTAGCTTGTAGCTAATCGTTGTGACTTTAGCTTGCATTGAATGGATCACGGGCTTCGTTTCAGTGCAGCTCTAGGTCAGCATTTGCGTGGCAATGCTAATTATACTTGGGCTCGGCAACGTCGCCTTAAGTGCTGCTGAGCTGCAGAAGTAGTTTTAGCCGAGCACCCGCCTTTTTAGCGTTAGCGTCGACTCATGTACAGTCGCTTACGCAGCTGAAGATGGGCACTGACCTTAACTATAGCCTGTCCGTCGCCTGATGTTGGATTACTGGTGTAGCTTTGTCTTCGCTCTAGCTCCAGTGCGAAGTCAGCCCACCCTTTGGCACAGGTTGGATTTAGTGTCAGCTCAGCTCTAAGTTGTCTTGCGTGTGAGAGGAGAAGCCGTGGTTGGCGTTTCTCCGAGGCGCCGGAATTGTTACAGGGTTACATCTATACACTACGAACACCTCCCTCGCCCCCTCCCTCTGCCACGAAAGAGGAGAGGAAGAGGAGGGAGGAGGAATGGAGGTGGTGGTGGTGGTGGTGGTGGTGGTGTATTTTCTTGGGAAGCGCATGGAAGGTGCACGCTCCTGAGCGCTCGAAACGGAGCCCTTCCCGAGGGCCTGCTGCTCAGAGGGGCAGCTGTCCCCGGGACCAGAACGATCTCTTTCCTCCTCCGCCTCCTCCCTCTCCTCCTCCTCCTCCTCCTCCTCCTCCTCCGCCTCCGCCTCCGCCTCCGCCTCCGCCTCATCCTCCTCCTCTTCCTCCTCCCTCCTCCTCCTCCTCCTCCTCCTCCTCCTCCTCCTCCTCCCTCTTCCTCCTCCTCCTCCTTCTCCTCCCTCCTCCTCCTTCTCCCTCCTCCTCCTCCTCCTCACTGGGGGTGCCCGTATGCGTCCGCCACACCCAGTACAGCGTTTCGTGGCCCCATAGGGAGTTCCACCGAAGGCCCCAGTGGGGCATGCCTGCATGCGTTCGCCGCACCCATTACAGCGTTTCGTGGCCCCACAGGGAGCCCCACCGAAGGCCCCAGTGGGGGTGCCCGTATGCGTCCGCCGCACCCATTACAGCGTTTCGTGGCCCCACAGGGAGCTCCACCGAAGGCCCCAGTGGGGGTGCCCGCATGCGTCCGCCACACCCAGCACAGCGTTTCGTGGGCCCCACAGGGAGCTCCACCGAAGGCCCCAGTGGGGGTGCCCGCATGCGTCCGCCACACCCAGCACAGCGTTTCGTGGCCCCATAGGGGGCTCCACCGAAGGCCTCAGTACAGCGTTTCGTGGCCCCATAGGGAGCTCCACCGAAAATTCGCATACGTCCCAACAGTTCGCCCCCCCTTGCTCGCACTGCCCCGCGCCTCGTTCTTCCTACGGCGCGCTGCCTATGATAGCAGAGGGTATATCGCGTGCGCTATTCGGTGTTTGCGTGCCCTCCTCTTTCGTCTCGTCTCCATCGCGGTTCTCGCAGCTGGATATGCTTGGGTCTTTCGTCAGGCCACTTCGAGTGTTTTTGAGATTTCGTCCAACACCCGCTTGTAGGGGGACCTGCCCGACCAAAGACTATGGGGAGTGCATCTCATGGCGGGGGCCATGATATCTCCCCAGATTCCGTGGCGCCTCTCTTCATTTCAGTACGTCCGTGGCCCCCCCCCCCTGGGCAGCGCACGTGCCGCCGGCCACGAGGTGCCCCCCCTCTCCTGTTGGACGCCGCCCTCCCTGGACGCCCCTGGCAGGGGGTGCCCGTGGCGCGTCTGCCCCAGCCTGGCGAGGGCTCGGGCCACTGCGCTGCCCGACGCCCTGGCGATGCGGCCGTCAAGGCCTTTTTGGGCATGGCGGAGTCTCGGGGGGCGGGCCCGCCCGCCATCCTGGTGGACCCTCGCGCAGCATCGGTGGTTCGACGAACAGTGGTCCCCCTGCTGCCATCACCATCACCAGCATTATCATCATCATCATCACCATCATCACCATCATCAGCATCATCATAATCAACACCATCACCATCACCATCACCATCACCATCATCATCATCATCACCATCATCATCATTATCATCATCACTATCATCATCACTATCATCATCATCACCTTAATCATCATCACCGTCACATGATCACCATCATCATCACCATCACCATCACCATCATCATCACCATCATCATCATCATCATCATCACCGTCACCACCATCACCATCACCATCATCATTATCATCATCACCATTACATCATCATGATCACCACCATCACCATCATCATCAGCATCACCATCACCAGCATAATCATCACCATCATCACCACCATCATCATCACCATCATCATCACCACCATCATCATCACCACCATCATCATCACCATAACCATTATCATCATCACTATCATCATCACTATCACATCATCATCATCATCACCATCACCATCACCATCACAATCATCGCCATCACCAGCATAATCATCCTCACCACCACCATCATCATCATCACCATCACCATCACCATCATCACCATCACCATCATCATCATCATCACCACCATCATCAGCATCATCATCGTCTTCATCATTACCATCACCATCATCACCATCACCACCATCATCATCATCACCACCATCATCATCATCACCATCACATCATCATCATCACCATCACATCATCATCATACCATCATCATCATCACCGTCACCATCACATCATCAGCATCATCACCATCAAGATCACCATCACCATCATCACCAACACCATCTTCATCATCATCACCATAATCATCATCACCATCATCACCACCATCATCATCATCCTCACCATCACCACCACCATCATCATCACAATCACCATCATCATCACCATCATCATCACCATCATCACCATCAGCATCACCACCATCATCATCATCATCATCATCACTTCCATCATCACCATCGTCATCACCATCGTCATCATCACCACCACCATCAGCATCATCACCATCACCATCACCATCATCATCATCACCATCACCATCACTATCACCATCACCATCATCATCATCACCACCATCATCATCACATCATCATCATCACTATCAAAATCACCGCCATCATCGTCACCATCACCATCATCATCACCATCACATCATCACCATCATCATCACCATCACCATCATCATCATCACCATCATCATCATCACCATCACATCATCACCACCATCATCTCCGTCACAATCACCATCATCACCATCAGCATCACCATCACCATCACCATCATCATCATCGCCATCATCATCATCATCACCATCATCACTATCACCATCACCATCATCATCACCATCATCTTCATCGCCATCATCACATCATCATCATCACGATCACCATCACCATCATCATCACCATCATCCTCATCATCATCGTCCCCCCCACATCATCAGCATTATCATGACCATCACCATCACCATCATCACCATCATCATCACCATCATCACCATCATTATCACCATTACCATCACCATCACCAGCATCACCATCACCATCACCAGCATCATCATCATCACCACCATCACCATCATCGTCATCACCATCATCGTCGTCATCACCATCATCGTCATTCCCATCATCGTCGTCATCACCATCATCGTCGTCATCACCATCATCGTCGTCATCACCACCATCACCATCATCGTCATCACCATCATCGTCGTCATCACCATCACCATCACCATCATCACCATCACCATCACCATCATCATTACCACCACCATCATCATCACCATCATCATCATCATCACCACCACCATCATCATCACCGTCACCATCACCAGCACATCATCGTAATCGTAATCATCACCATCACCATCATCACCATCATCATGATCATCATCATCACTCTCACATCATCATCATCATGATTACCATCACCATCATCATCACCGTCATCACCATCATCATCATCCTCACCATTTCCATCATCATCACTATCACCAGCATCATCACCGTCATCACTATCACCAGTGTCATTATCATCATGGTCACCATCATTTCCATCACCATCACCATCATCACCACCATCATCACCATCATCACCATCACCATCATCACCATCATTACCATCATCATCATCACATCATCACCATCATCATCACCATCACCATCATCATCGTCACCGCCATCATCGTCATCACCATCATCATCACCACCACCGTCATCATCACCATCACCATCACCATCGCCATCATTATCATCATCGCCATCATTATCATCATCACCATCATCATCATCACCATCACCATCATCATCACCATGACATCATCACCACTACCATCTTCATCATCATCATCACCATCACATCATCATCATCATCATCATCACCATCACCATCACCATCACCATCATCATTACCATTATCGCCATCACCATCATCACCATCATCATCACCATCACCATCATCATCACCATCATCATCATGATCAACATCACCACCATCATCACCATCACCTTCATCATCATCATCATCACCAGCATCATCATCGTCATCATCACCATCACCATCACCATCATCATCACCTTCATCATCACCATCATCACCATCATCCTCACCATCAGCATCACCACCACCACCATCACCACCATCATCATCATCGTCACCATCAGCATCATCATCATCAGCACCACCAGCATCATCGCCATCACCATCACCATCACCATCACCATCACCATCACCATCACCATCACCATCACCATCACCATCACCATCACCATCAACATCACCATCTTCACCATCACCATCATCATCACTATCACCATTACTATCATCGTCATCATCATCATCATGAGCCCACAACCGGACGGCCGATGGGCGCCCCATGCTCGCATGCACCCGCTTATGGTGCGTCCAGCCGTGCCAGTCGTTCCCGCCGCCCGCCGCCGAGGCCGCTGGTCTGCAGCCGCTGGCCAACTTCCCCAGGGGCGGAGCGCCGGCCCGGGGGCAGACGAAGACAGGACGTGGATAAGGGCGGATGGGGATAGATCTGCGGACGACGATCGAAGGAGGGGAAGCATATTGCCAAATACTCTGCAGATGTCCACACCATGTTTTCAACATGTCTTACACATGTAAAACCTGCTTTGCACATTTGTAGAACATTTTGTTTGTACATTGTAACAGTGATCGGATTGTTAGGGTGTCCATTGTGATGGCATCCAAAAGGGTAGATCGAGGATCTCTAAGATCTGGCGGCTCTGGAGGACGTATCGGGCGCCGCGGCCTTGTCAAGAGCATTCTGGAACGGTGTTATCCTCGTCTGGCCCCGTCCTGCCGACGGGGGGGCGGTGGGTCGAGGCGGGGATTTCTACAGAACCGCCGCCTGGAGGATCGGTTGCCGCGGACTTCATCGGGCGGTGGACATGGGTATATTTTGGCCCCCGTGGGGCCGTTCTATATATATATATATATATATATACATGTATGTAGGTCTGTCATGTCATGTCATGGCATGTAATGTAGTGTAATGTATTGTACGTAGGTGTGTATGTAATGTAATGTAATATAATGTCATGTAGTGTCATGGAATGTACTGGAATGTAATGGAATGCGATGTATTGTAATGTAGTTTAGTGTAATGCATGTGATGTATGTAGTGTATGAAGTACATGTATGTAATGCATGTATGAAGGTATGTATGTATGTGATGTGATGCCATGTAATGCAATGTACTGTAGTGTATTGTAATGTATTGTAGTGCGTTGTACTATATGTAATGTATGTATGCATGCATGTACGCCTATATGTATGTACGTACTCACGTCTGTATGTAATGTAATGTAGTGCGATGTAATTTGCTATATGTACTGTATGTGCTGTATGTATGTATGTATAGAATGCAATGTTTGTGATGTGTGTAATGTATGTATGCATGCATTCATGTATGTGTGTATGCATGCTTGTAGTATGTAATGTAATGCACTACAATGTAATGAAGAGTAATGTAGTGCATTGTAATGTAATGTAGTGTAATGCTTGCGTTGTATGTGTTGTCATGCATGTATGTATTTATGCACGTGTATATGTATATGTAAATGTGTACGCACATGCATACGTGTATATATATATATATAGGTAATTGCATTCGTACATTCACATTGGTATGCATATACATGTGTATGTATATGTATATGTATATGTATATGTATGCGCACTTGTGTATGTGTATGTGTATGTACATGTATATGTATGTACATGTATATGTACATACATGTATATGTACATGTTTGTCTGTTTGTGTATGTATATGCATATTCACATGGATATGTATATGTATTTGTATATGTCTATGTACGTATGTGAATATGTATGTATATACATACACATGTGTACATATATATGTATATATACATGAATGTATGTACGCATGTACGTATGTATGTATGTATGTATGTATGTTTGTATAGGTACATATTTATGTATATGTATTTGTATATGGAATTGCATACGTATATGTATATGTTTATGTATGTGTTTATGTATATGTATATGTATATGTATATGTACATGTGTATGTGTATGTATATACATAGGTGTATATATATACGTACATGTGCATGTGTATGTACGCATGTATATATATATGCGCATAGTGTATACATATAGGTGTATATGCATGTATGTATGCATATGTATGTATGCATGTATGTAAGTATGTATGTATACTTGTATAGGTATGTATGTTTCTATGTATATATATGTATGTGTGTATAGATATGTATTAATTGTATCATATGTATGTATGTATGTATGTATGTATGTATGTATGTATGTATGTATGTATGTATGTATGTATGTATGTATATATATACACATATATTTATATATACATATACATATACATATACACATACACTATATATATATATATATATATATATATATATATATATATATATATATATCCTGGGCGACGAGCCCCCCTGGCCGCGCCCAGGGACCTCCGCGGCGCATGGGGGGACCGGGCCCCCCGAAGGTCTTCAGGAGGCGTTTAAGAAGCTTCTGGCCGTCCCCAAGACGCCTCCAAGAAGCCCCCACAGGCTCCCAGACCATACAGGATCCTTTCCAGAAGGCCCACGAGGCCCCCAAAACGTCCCAAGAGGGCTCCAAGATGGTCGCCAAAAGGGCCCCGGGAGGCTGAAATTGATTTGTTGCCCGCGAAACATGTACATTGTCAGTATCTACAAGTGGCGGGTTGCCCCAGCGTGTACCACGACCCCAGACGCCGCCAAGACCGCCCTAAAACGAATCAAACAGCCCCCAAGAGAGCCCGAAGACGGCCCAAGAGGGCCTCAAGAGGGCCCCAAGAAAGCCCAAGACGGCCCAGGAGGGCCTCTGCAAGCCCCCAGGGGGAACATAAAGGAGACCCCCAGACATCCCGGACGCCGCCCAAACCGCCCCAAAACAGACCAAGAAACCTCCAAGAGATCCCGGAAACGGCCCAAGAGGGCCCCAAGAAGGGCCAAAACGGTTCAAGAATACCCCTGGAGGCCCCAAGGGGAACCCATAGGAGGCCCGCAGACACCCCCAAGAGAGCCCACGGACGCCCACAGCTCTCGACGACGGTACCAAACAGCCACAGGGCGGCCTCAGAGGGCCTCCAACATCGCTCAAAGATGCTCCAGGAGGCCTCCCCGAGAGAGCCCCAACGGGGCCCCAAGACGCCCTTAGAACGTCCAGAGTGCCCTCCAAAACGGCTTCGGGTCTTGCCCAAGTGTGGCCCTAACAATCTCCCAGGTGCCCCTTGGGCGCCCTTCGGTGGATCCAGAGTGGCGGAGGAACAACGGCCTCCAGCCCGAGACTGAGGAAGGCTTCCCCGACATTTTGTGACCGCCTCCGAAGCGCCTCCGCTTGCGGGATTAGTTCGCCTGGCAGGCTGAGGCTGCGCCGTCCGGCGGCTGTGCCGCTGGCGGTGGGACCCAGCCACGGGCGCAGGCCTATGCTCCCCTCCCGCCGCAGACGCAGCCGTCGCCGCCTGGAGCGCCGCCGCCGCCACCAGGGGCCCCGAGGCAGCAGGCGTCAGCAGCTACGCACAACGCGCCGCCGCCGCCGCCACCGGCGCCGTCACGGGCGCGGCCGCCACCACCGCCGCCTCCCGGGGCGCCCCCCAACGGGACGGAACCACAGGCGTATGGAGCGCCTCCCCCACCGGCCAGGCCGCCGCCGTCGCAGACGCAGCCGCCACCGCTCGGCGCGCCGCCCGCGCATCCCCCGTCCTCTCGGGAGGAGGGCGACGGCCGGACGCAGTGGCATGTGCCACCAGCTTCGGGCTTCCCTGAGGCCAGGCAGGACACGCCGCCCAAGCCAATGCCACGGCCGGCGACGGGAACGCAGCCTACTGGCACCGCCCGGACGAGGGGCACTGCCCCGGGTCCGCGGCAGCTCCAGCCAAAAGACTCTCCTGCGGCTTCCGCCCCGGGCAACAGAGCTGCTGGCAGGAGGTGGACACGCCGAGCGACACTTCCGCGGCAGCCAGAGCAGAAGGTGCCTCCTTCCCGGCACGCTGGAGACGGGGACGTCATCATGCAGGCTGCCGAAGACGATCAGAGGCACGCCCCTCCTGGAATGACGCCTGCTCCCGCTGACTGCGTCAGCGGAGCCGGCGAGGAGCCCCCATCCTCGCGGTTCAGCGGAATTTGCGAATGCTCAAATGGTCGAAAACCTACGATACGTGGGCTTCACCCAGTGCTGTGCTGCTTGTTCAGCGCTTCTAGAGAGCAGGCATCTATTCCAGATTCCCCGGGCAGAATATCCTGGCCTATGCGAGGCAGGGTCGCCCGATCGCCAACTGGCGCAGTGTCCCGAGAGTAGTCGCCTGGATGGGGCAAGACCTACAAGGGCATGCAGCACCTCGACGTGGACATCATGCCACTGACAGGCTCGACGACCATCTTCCACAATGAAGAGGGCAAGGCACGGTCGGCCAACCTTCTGAGGAACAAATTGCAGGGGCAATCTGGATGGTTTTTCGGCTACAGCAGAGGAGGGGCATCCTTGGGCGAGATCTGTGATTTTGTCGAGGGAAAGGATGCCACCCAGCTTCGCGATTCAATGCGCTACGGCGCGAGATCCGAGCATCAAGTTTGTTATGCCATTTGGAGGGGCAACGAGCTGGATGCCGACACAGACCGCATTCTTCGTGGCACTGCGCCCAAGTCGAGCAGAGAGCTCTGTTTCCGGCTGGAGCATGCGGCGCTCGAGCAGGTTGAGCTGTTGGTCGACTTGCAGGCGAGATGCGCCGTGGCCGAAGGATAACCACATGGTGGTTTTCGGCCGTGGCGACGCCCTGTCACGCGTCGCCCCTCCGACCGACGGTGCGCGCGCGGCTTGGAAGGCGTTTGCTGGCCGCGAGCTGCGGCGGTCGCCGGCGACCGCATTTTGCATTGGGGGGGGGGGGCGCCCGCGCAGGATGCCCTGGATCAGGGGCCCCGAGCCGCGCGGGCGAGGAGAACGCCCCTGCGCCCGGCATTTCCTGCCGACACTTCGCTGTCGCTGCGGAGGAGCCGTCGTCGCGGGCGCGGCCAAGTATGTCCTGAAGGCGTGCCGTGCGTGCGTGGAATTCAACTGGGGCCCTTCTGATCCGCGGCGCGGTGGCTTCGCCGCCGTCCGCGATCGCGAAAGGGTGGGATGTCTGGTCAGTCGAGTTTCCATCGCTGGCTCCCTGGTCGCGTGCGATGCGATCGTGATCCTGCCATTCCATGAGAGTGACGTACCTACCGTTCCAGGGCTTCCATATGTAGACGTCGACTCGACCGAGCTCGCGGACGGGCTGGCGCCGAAACCTCCGTGGGTCGACGCGCCGGTCTGCCCCCCCCCCCCCCCCCTTCGACGACTCGGTCTCGCGGCCCCGTGCGGCCCCGGCGCTCGCGCTCGCGCGGGGTAAAATGGCCCCCGACGAACGCGTGGCCACATGCTTGAGGACGGA